CTCACAGGACGCACCCGCCTGTGTTTGCTTGACCTTGCCAGCTCGTGGTGGTGCCCAGCCCATACTTAGGGTGGTGCCCTAAGATGCTGTGCTGTGTGCCCTTCCTCAGTGAAAGGCACACGGGGCTGGACGCGTGTCCTGGCCATGCAGCAGTCAGGAAGCAGGACCAGCATATGGGCACCCTGCAACTGCTTTAACCTTCCTCACCCCTGGGAGGGAAGTGGCTTGACCCCGTGTGATGAAGGTAGAACTCAGGGTCACACAGGGAGCTCCAAGCTCTTTTACTCGGAAGCCTGATCTCGCAGAGCCTTTCAGACTTTTTTCAGTTGTGGGGAATTTGTCCTGCAATAAAGCAAACTCTCAGGTACACAGCTGAAGAAGGGGAGAATGGAGCATTGTATTAGAGACGGGAGCTGGGGCCCAGCTGTCCCTGGCCTCTGTGCCCTGCCCCATGGCCACGTCTGGGCCCCCGGGGCACATCCCAGGACTTAGCCCTGGGACTCAGGTTCCAGGACGAGCCGGGTCAGGAAGGCCCAACTTTGCCTAAGCTTCCAGGCTCTGTGGGAGCAGTGTGTGGCTGTGACTGGCTTCCCCTTGTCCCAGAACGAGTCTGATGTCTTCAGTTGGGTGATCCGCCGAGAGTTCCAGGAGCTGCACCACCTAGTGGATGAGGAAAAGGCCCGCTGCCTGGAAGGGGTGGAGGGCCACACCCGCGGCCTGGTGGCCTCCCTGGACCTGCAGCTGGAACAGGCCCGGGGCACTCGGGAGCGGCTGGTGCAGGCTGAGTATGTGCTGGAGCAGTTCAGTAACGAGAGTCACCATGAGTTTATCCGGGTGAGTGGCCAAGGACGAGTCCCGTGCCAGCCCCCCAGGGCCCCAAGAGCACCCTCCTTGCTAACAGCCTTCCATCCTCTCTTGTTTTCCAGAAGTACCACTCCTTGGCCTCCAGGTAATATGCACAAGTGGACACAAGTGTGTCCGTTCACCCCCAAAGATCCCCTGGTTTCCCTGGGGCCTCAGGAGCAGCTGCCTACCATCTGGCTCTGCTGGACCCAGGGAAATCAGAAGCCAGTCCTGGCCCTCTCCTCAGGGGTCTGCAGGCTGGTGGGAGGTTGATGGTGAGCTGTGGTTGCATCTCTGTGAGGACCTTGACGTTCATACAAGCTACAAAAATAACCCAAAGGAAGAGGCAGTTGGGGCCTGGGCTTGGTGACAGAGACTGCAAGGTGGCTGAGAAGGGAAGCAGGCAGAGTCCCGTGAAATGGCTGGTCTGTCGGACTATGAGTCTGGGAGCTGTGTAGGCAGCCTGGGAAGTCAGGTGCAGGGTGATGGGGCTGGGGGTGAGGCCAGAGGCCTCAAAACACCCACCTCAGCTTGTGGGGAAGGGCTGGGCATATTCTAGAACAATTGCGTAGGCTCTGAACCTTCCTCAGAACCCATTTATAAGAATCTCCTGTTCCTCACACTTCCTTCTTGGGCACAGTTTGGCTAGAGGATTGGTTTAAATGAATGGGCAGGGAATGTGACTCCATTTGGAGCCAGCGTCCACTCCAGCCGGGGATGCCCCATCCAGAGAGGTGATCTTTAAACACCAGCCAGCCGCCTGAAGGGTGACTGGAACACACACCTTGGGCCACAACAATCACTTCTGATCCAGGTGGTCTGGGGTGGCAGCCAAGAAAAGGGGCATTTCTCATGCTCCCAGGTGAAGCTGTTGGTCCCCATGGATGCTCCACACCACAGGTGTTGGGTGTTTTCTCCTTCCAGGGAGGAGGCGAACTCTCTGGAGCAGAGGGGGAAGTGTGGGCACTTTGACTCAGTTTTCTGAGCTGATTGGCTGGTCAGATTTTTGAGCAGAGCCAGGGTGGGCCACAAAGCACCCCATGGCTCCATCACTGTGAACTGTCCCCCCAGAGCAGAGCTCCAGCAGGCGCGGCCCTTGGAGGGTGTGTTCAGCCCCATCTCCTTCAAGCCAGGCCTTCATCAGGCTGACATCAAGCTGACCGTGTGGAAGAGGCTGTTTCACAAGGTTCTGCCAGGTGAGCCCCCCCCCCATTCCTCTTTACTGAGGGCTGCACCCAGGGAGGGGAGTGGCTGTTGATGGCATCTGAGTCTGAGGTACAGAGAACCGGAGGGGAGCTTGCACGGGGTGACGGGTGGACATGGGCGGGGTCTCCTCCAAACAGCGTGGGCTCCAGCTCAGCCAGGTGGCAGGGGAGTCGCCTCATTTCTGTAAAGAGGGACTATTCCTGTCCACCTTGCTGGGTGGTGCCGTTTACAGATGTGCATTCGTGAGTGTGAGTCTGTGTGCCTTCTCTGCGTGTACAGTGGTGTTCAATAAGGGGTAGCCATTACTTTGTCAAAAAAAAAAAAAAACTCAGACAATTAATCCCTCCTTCACTACTAGCCCATAGGGGCAATCAACTAACTATAGGTTGATTTCATGCAATGAAAGCAAAAATAGGGTTTACATCAGAGAAAAAGGGGGAGAGGGGAGAACAGCCTGCAGTCTGAACAGCCTTGTGTGCTCATTTTTGGTGTACGCTGATAGCTGAAGGCTATCAAAAAGGCCAGTTATGCTAGTTTATGCTGGCTCGGCCTTGCATCAGCCACGGGTGTTAAGGAAAACCACCGCCCTGGTTATGGATTCTCCAGAACTGCTGGGGAGCTCAGCTGCGGGGCGTCTGAGACCGTGTCTTCCAAGCCCTTCCTTCTGCCTGTCCCCTCATCACACAAGTCCACGCCATTTCATTCCCATTGTTCCCTGGCTTTCAGCTGTCCATTCTCCCTCACCCCCACCCTCTGGCATCATTCAGTCATTCAACAAATACCCTGTGGGTGCTGACTCTGTGCCTGTTCCCTCTAGGCCTGCGATGCAGGAAGGCGGCAGACAGTCCTCTCCCAAGGGGCTGGGGCCTTCGTTGGTGCAGGTGTTCATCCTTTCTGTGTGGCTTGAAGACACACCTTGTCTGATCTTTCCTAGCCCCAGAGTCTCTCAAGCTGGACCCTGCGACTGCCCATCCTCTCCTGGAGCTGTCCAAGGGCAATACAGTGGTGCAATGTGGGGTCCTGGCGCAGCGGTGTGCCATCCAGCCAGAGCGCTTCGACTACAGTACTTGTGTCCTGGCCAGCCGGGGCTTCTCCTGCGGCCGCCACTACTGGGAAGTGGTGGTGGGCAGCAAGAGTGACTGGCGCCTTGGGGTCATCAAGGGCACAGCCAGTCGCAAGGGCAAGCTGAGCAAGTCTCCAGAGCATGGCGTGTGGCTTGTCGGCTTGAAGGAGGGCCGGGTGTACGAGGCCTTTGGCTGCCCGCGGGTGCCCCTGCCTGTGTGCGGCCACCCCCACCGCATTGGCATCTACTTGCACTATGAGCAGGGAGAGCTCACCTTCTTCGACGCTGACCGCCCTGATGACCTGCGGCCACTCTACACATTCCAGGCCGACTTCCAGGGCAAGCTCTACCCCATCCTGGACGCATGCTGGCACGAAAGGGGCAGCAACTCCCTGCCCATGGTGTTGCCACCACCTGGCCGGCCCAGCCGCCCCCTCCTGCCACAGCCCACCAAGCCATAGGGCTGCTCATGTGCTGCCCCCACAGCCCTGCCTTGCAGGACAAAGGAAGGCAAGGTGTCCGCTGGCTCCAGGGGGCAGAGGTGGCATCTTCGCTTAAGGAGTCCTTTAAGCCCGTGCATCCCTAGACACATTTGGTGATAGGGCAGAAAGGCCCACAACCCTTCCCTGTCAGTAAAGGGCATGTTGGTAGCCCTCTGTGGGAGTCCGCCAGGCCAGCCCTCAGTGTCTGCAGGTCAAGCTGAGTCTCCCTCGAACCTGAACTTTGGAAGAGAGAGAATGCTGGGGCCTGGTGCTGGAGTGAGAGGCTCCCTGACTTTGTGCCACTAGGTCTGTGCAACTGCCTGAGTCTTTGGTACAGGGCAGCTCCACCGGCCACCTGGGACGGGTCCACACTGGCCCCACAGGCTGGCCTCACCCACAGCCTGAGTGATCCTCCTGGAACGGGAGGAGATGGGGGCTGGGAGGGGCAACCTCTAGGCCATTGCCAAGCATCCCCGATGCTCCTTGCGGTGGCTGGCCTCCATGTGTGCAACAAGCCTGATGTCAGCTGGGGCCTTTGTTTGACCTTTTGCCATCTATGTTCGTAATAAACTGTCTGAAGGAAAAGGAAGGTGCTGACCATTTCTTTCCTAGGCAAGTCTGGAGGGTATTGGCTGTGATTCCTGTGTTGACAACTTCCAGACCTGAGTTTTGGGTCTTCAGTTCGCTTTTCGATTCCATGACTCGGCTGAAGTATTGCTCCTCTGTACGCACTTGCTACCCTTCACCACCCTGCACCTCATCCTGGAAGGCTGGCCCAGAATGCAAACCTCTGGCTTCCTGCTGGATCTGCCTACGGGATTGGGGCAGGACTGGGGGTTTGAAATATTTATCTCCCCAGTTTCCTGCCTGCGGGGCTGAGTTGGCAGCTTCGCTCTACTGGCTGGTGTCCACTTACTCCCTCAGGCGTGGCACTGTTGCTAACCCAGCCTCCTGAACCTGCCCCTGTAGGTTCCTTAACTGACCCTTCTTGTATAAATTGTCCCTTTTAAAAACTCTCAACTACTCTTTTGACTTTGCCAGAAAAGGCTGGGGAAGGGTGGCCAGAAGAAGCTAACTCGCACCATGTGAATCCATGGATTTAAGAGTAGAAAAATGGAGCCACAGAGATTTGTTTTGTGGTGTAAAGGGGTTTCCAAGCAGGTCACTAAAAGCGGAAACTAATTTTGAAAAATGATTTCAAAACTAAAACACCTTGTTGTCCAAAACAACAATAAGCCACGAGGCACATATTTAGCCAGAGAACCAGACAAAGACAAGACTGTGCAAAAGACACTAGCAGGCGACGATCTCCACGTACCCTGGGGGAACGGAAAGCAAAACGGCTTCCGGGGCGGGACTTCCGGGGCGGGCCTGCGTGCACTTTGAACCGGAAGTCGAAGCTCGCGGCGCGGCGCCGAACATGGCGGTGTACGCAGCAGCGGCGGCCGTCCTGGCGGGCGTGGAGACCCGTCAGGGCTCCATCAAGGGGCTGGTGTACGCCAGCCGTTTCCAGGTAGCGGGGTTCAGGGTTCGGGGCCTGGCCGGTGGGGTAGCCGGCCCGGCTCCTGCTTCAGCGGGTGTCCTCGCCGCAGAACGTGAAGCAGCTGTACGCGTTGGTGTGCGAGACGCAGCGCTACTCCGCCGTGCTGGACGCGGTCATCGCCAGCGCCGGCCTCCTCCGCGCCGAGAAGAAGCTGCGGCCGCACCTGGCCAAGGTGGGGCGCGGGCGGGGGGCGTGGCCTGGGCGAGAAGCGCGCGGACCCCGGGGCCAGCGCGCGTGCGGCCGCGCTATGACTGAAGCGAGTGGTCCCTTGAAATGAGTGGGAGCCGCTCCTCGCCGGGTTATGAATTGCAGGAAATGGTTTAATTTCCAGCCTTGTGTGAAGAGCTCGAGAAAGGAGTGCAAAAGAGTCTTGTAGGGTCTCTATAAGAGAAGAGTTGTCAAGGAGGAGGGTTGGGATCCAGGGCCCACTGGTGAGGACCCCTGAGGAAAGATGGGAAGATCGAGCGTGAAGTCACGTGTTTACCACTGCCAGCGTGATCTCGGTTGGGCAGATCACATCACTTTGGTCAGTCAGTGCCCAGACAGGTGATCTGTTGCATCTTTGCGGTGTCAGCTCTGGAATTCCAAGGCACTAATACTCGGGTCTTCTCATTGTTTCCCATGCCCAGGTACTCGTGTATGAACTGTTGCTGGGCAGAGGTTTTAAAGGGGGTGCGGGCAGATGGAAGCCTGTGCTGGACCGGCACCAGGCCAGACTGAAGGCGGAGTTGGCCCGGCTCAAGGTTCGTCGAGGTGTGAGCCGGAACGAGGACCTGCTGGACTCCGGATGCAAGCCTGGCCCAGGTGCGCAGGAAGGAGTTGTGGAGGTGGCCAGCACCATGCGGCCCTCAAAGAAGCTAGTAGTGTTCACCCCACTCACTGCTGATTGCTCTTAGCCTCCCAGGTGCCTCGATTTGTGCGGGTCAACACCCTCAAGACCTGCGCTGATGATGTCATTGATTATTTCAAGAGACAAGGTTTTTCCTACCAAGGTCGGGCCTCCAGGTGAGTTTGGAACCTGCTGGCTTCTCATCTGGGGAGGAGTCTGGGGGTGCTGGGAGACCCAGGCATAGGAAGAGAGAGGTGGAGTGGTTTTGGCTACCTTAAGTTTTCTTCCCACTTTCCCAGTAGTTTTTCCATTGCCTTCCAAGGGGTAGCTTCTTCCATCCTTTAACCATTAATTCCTCTGGGAATCCCATCCTGTAGTTTCCTAATGTGTCCCTCAGTTTCTCCTCCTGTTTTAACTCCTACTTCTCACCTAATGATTTGTGTCTCCCAGTCAGACTTTCTTACCTTCCTACGGTCAGGTTCACATCACTGCTTCCCAGACACCATGGTTGTAGCACTTGAACTGAATATATCCTTTCTCCGAACTTGAAGTTGTTAAAGCCCGTTTACTCAAAATTCAAGATTTAAGAAAAATTCTCCCAGAACGCTGTTTAAACTGCTGATAGGATAATTTTACAGCTTTCCCTTTTTTAACTTGAAGTATAATTGACATAGAACCTTATTAGTGTCCGATGCTGTAAAATGTCCAGCCTGGTACCTGGCATGGAGGAATTCAGAAAATGTTGACTGGTTATTTCCCGGCAGCCTCGAGGAACTGAGGGTGCTCAAAGGGAAGAGTTTTCTTCTGGATCCCTTGTTGTCAGAGCTGCTTGTGTTCCCTGCCCAGACAGATCTGCATGAACATCCCCTATACCAAGCTGGTCACCTCATCCTACAAGATAAAGTATGGTGGAAGATGGGTAAAACAGGGCAGGTGGTGTGGGAGAGTGATCAGCGTGGGGTCGCTTCATGCATCTACTATGCCCTGTAGGCCAGCTGTCTCCCAGCCATGCTGCTGGCTCCCACACCAGGCTCTCATGTCATAGATGCCTGTGCTGCCCCCGGCAATAAGACCAGTCACTTGGCTGCTCTTCTGAAGAACCAAGGGTGAGTGCCGTGGTCTGGTGGGGTGGGGTCTGATTCTGTATTTACTAAGAAATAATGAACTCCATTCTGGTATGTCTGAAAGCTGTGAGGACTGTCCTTTAAAATTTTCATTCTTGGGCCTCCTTCACGGCACAGGGGTTAAGTCTCAGCACTATACCAGCCACATGAGTTGCAGCATGAGTTCAACCCCCAGTCACGGGGGTTGAACTGTCCCTGCAGATCTCTCCTATCTCGCCCACTGCTCCCCTTGGCAGTGTCAGTTTATTTCAGTGGATCCATCTGTTCTCTACTCTGTCTCTGGTGAATCCTCTCAATACCATCCCCCAACTCCCCTTACCTCTGGCCTACACTAGTTCTTATGTGCCTAAATAAATAAAATCTTTTGGGCCCTCCCTGGTGGCCCAGTGGGTAGCGTAGCACTACGAAGCTGTCATAGCCACTGCATCATGAGTTCGATCCCCAGCCAGGGAGGTGATGGACAGCACAGCAGACCTCTCCTGACCACCTGCTGCTCTCCTCAGCAGTGTATTTCGGTACATCTGCCTGTTCTGCTCCCCAGTCTGTCTCTGGTGAATCCTCTCACCCCACCCCTGCCCTAGTTCTGTATGCATAAATAAAATCTCTTAAAAAATACTTATTTCTTGACCTAGGGCATTTCATGATGTAGCCCAAACTAAGCTTCCGATTGGGTTGCAACATGGGATGTGGGTCCCTTAACCTTTCAGGCAAGTCCCGGGCGAGTTACCTCTGCCCTTGTTGACTATGTAATATTTTCGGGCTCCTCACTTAATGTACCTTACTGACTGTAGGACACTATAAAGTCTGTTAACTCTGTCCTCCTCTTTAGGAAAATCTTTGCCTTTGACCTGGATGCCAAGAGGCTGGCCTCTATGGCTACTTTGCTGGCCCGGGCTGGAGTCTCTTGCTGTGAGCTGGCGGAGAAAGACTTCCTGGCAGTTTCACCATCAGACCAGCAGTATTGCCAGGTCCAGTACATCTTGCTGGATCCTTCTTGTAGTGGCTCTGGTGAGACGGAGAGGAAGCATGGGCCCCATGATCCAGAGCAACTTCAGGGTGGAAGGGGTGGGAGTATGTAACCATCTTGTGGGCAAGACTACTTTTCTATGAAGTGGGGAGGTCAGTACCAAATAAGACACTGTCATTAAAACATGCTTTTCCTTAGGTATGTTGACCAGACAGCTAGAAGAGCCCGGGGCTGGCGTACCTAGCAAGGAACGTTTGCAGGCTCTTGCGGGATTCCAGCAGCGAGCTCTCTGCCATGCGCTCACTTTCCCCGCCCTGCAGCGCCTGGTCTACTCCACATGTTCCCTTTGCCAAGAGGAGAATGAAGATGTGGTGCGAGACGCGCTGCAGCAGTGCCAGGGCAGCTTCAGGTAGTGGGCATCCCCAGCTCTCGGGGGAGGAGGGCTGCTCGCTCCACCTGACATCTGTGCTGTCTCGTCACCAACAGGCTTGCTCCCGTCCTACCCTCCTGGCCCCACCGAGGCCTCAGCACTTTTCAGGGTGCCGAACACTGCCTCCGCGCCACCCCTGAGACCACAGTCACTGGTGGCTTCTTCGTTGCTGTATTTGAGCGGGTAGAGGCGCCAAGGTGAGGGGGCTAGGGGGCTGCTTGGAAGATACTGGAAAATCGGGACACATCTAATTTACTCGTTTTGTAGTTCAGTCTTAGTGACCGAAGCCTTGCCACTGCCAGAGCCTAGACCCAGCCCCGTCCCAAAGAGAAAGAGGCGGCGGCGAAAAGATGCGGCCACTCCTAACACACTGCCTTGCACGTAGCAGGTGCTCACAGCTGTGACTGGTGGGGTGGGAGAAATGTGGGCACCGGCCGCCTCCACCCCTCCTTGCTTAGCTTGGGCCCTCACACCCAGGCAGCAGTTTTGGTTTTGAAAGGTTCTTTTTTTATTGCCATAGGACAGAAACTGGTCATCTTGGCTTTCCAGCTGGAAAAACAGTGGATTGCTTTGCCTCCCTTCCTTGGGCTGTGTTCTTGCTGGTGAGAGAAGTGCTGACCACAAGAAGAAAAGGCAGAACATGGTCTACGATAGATCACAGTTTCTTTATTCTTAATGACATAAGCAGGAGAAATTTCACATTCATACTAAAAATTCCAACTAGACTCAACAGGAATTAAGTATTTGTATGGAAAGTCCCAGCCTCCCGTTCCTGTCCAGTGCACATACAGGTACACACACATACACACACACACTCAGGCCAGGCCAGGACACCCTCTTTGGGGAAGGGGGATTCCTGGACCAACTGTCCTGCCTGTGGAACTGAGGTAAACTAGCTCAGTGTACTAAAACTAAGAGGATCTACCTTACTTAAGGTATAGGTAGAAGCTTGATTTCTAGACCCGTGCCCTACCCCCCCCACCCCTCCAATCCTACCAGGTATTTGGGACTTGAGGTTCAGGCCCCGCCTCAGCTCCACACACAGCTTGGTATTAACAGAGCTCTTCTTGGGGACGGGGAGGAGCAGTCCCCTGCCAAAACACATTCAACCTCAGTCACAAAGGGGGAGGGGACTAGTTACATCTACATCACATTATTTATAAAATAAGAATTACATTTTATATAATGTGTCCAGAAGGAGCTCTAGTCCCTCAGGAAAGCTGCCTGCGACAGCATTTGAGCCTCCTCTTCACACAGGCATAACTTAACTATACAGCTAATTCCTAGTCAATAGCATTTATACGTAACCACCTCAATGAACCAAGCTTGAAGGAATTTAAAAGGCAATTTAGCTTAAATACAAAAATAAATTTTTATTTTGTTAAAAAATGTTTAAATATTTTTTTCTTTTAATTTAGACACACGCATTCATACTTCTCCCAAAGAGAATGGGCATGGCAGCAAGGCTCTTGGGCCTGGGGTATGAGGTTTTGGAACAAAGGAAGAAAAGGAGGGGTGGAGGCCGTGGGGTGGAGGTGAGTGGGGGGGAACAGAATATAAGAATTTTAAAGTGTGGTTCATTAACTTATATAGAGATAACTTTCTAGTACATACATGGGGTGATCTGGCCTCCAGTTAGGTGAGAGCGAGGTCTCTGCTCCCCCAGGCCCTGTCCTCCTGGGCTGCCAGCCCTTAAAGTCAAAACACCATTTGAAAATCCAGGAGTCAGCACTTGTGGCCGTGAAGTGGTGCTACTTTCCACGTTCAATTAGCTAGGCCCCAGAAACTTGAAACAGTTAAGTCCGGCACTACCAACATGCCGCCACTCATACAATTCAATTCTTCCTCCAAACTCGATTCAAAGAGCAATAGACGTGAGCATCAGACAGTAACACAGGACAAGGCTTAAACATACAATCCCGGAGAGGCAGGCGAGCCCAGTGAGGAAAGTGGGCGAGGCGGCAGCTGAAAGCAGCGGTGGGCATCCTGCCTGCTCCAAGAGTTTCCCTCTTGTGGAGCAAGGTGTCACCCCAAGGTCTGCCAGGCTAACAGTCGAGCCACCAAGCTTTTAGGGGCCAAACTGGCAGAGGCCTGGGGATGAAACTGACTCAGACTTGGCAGGAGGGAGTGAACAGCAGGAGCAGCACCCACTGGGGTCTCCAAGCCAAAGCTAAATTCAAGGTCATCTGAAAAGGAGTAAATCCTACAGAACCAGTGAGGGGACAAAGCAGCAAGAAATGGGGAAACAGTCCTCTATGGGGACCAGAGGGGAGAACTTTATAGCCAAGCGAAGCAAGGTAAAACTTCAGGGATCATCTATTCCCCCCAAACCCATCGAGCACACATAAGAGATTCAAGTGGGCAGAGGCTGTACCTGCTACTGTCCAGCGAGGGGGGAAGTGGGAGAGGAGGCAGCGAGGGAGGCGACCTGACTAAGCGTTTAGGCTAAATAGGAGTCGGGAGTAAGGACGCTATGTACAGATGTTTCTTTAGTTTTTCTCCAGCCTCACCAATGGAACTGTTCAAGTAAGGTAATCAGGCTTTGCTCTGCCATATCCTGCCTCCCCCTCCCCTCAAGAGGCCTTGAGGCTTCTCCCTTCAGGGGCAGGAAAGGCCACAATGGCTGCCACTACCTCCCTGGTGACTGAAGCCAGCAGGCAGGTTGGCCTTCCGGAACTAGAAAGGTCAGAGGCTCTTCCTAGCAGGTGCTGAGGTCCAGATTGGGCGGGGTGGGGGTGGGGGAGCGAGGGCAGGGGAGAAAGGCTATTTCTTGCGAGTGTGCTGCCTTCGGGCCTGCAGTCTCTGTCGCGCCCCTGGGGTCTTGGATCCTGCACCAATGGAAAATGAAGGGGTCGCTGATCCTGAAAAGAGACAAGAGCTCATCAGTGCAGCTGCTACCTGGTAACTTTTGGGGGGTGTCCTAATCTCTGGAAAGTTAGGCCAATAGAACACCAAGGCTTCCCAAGCTCTTAACAATCCTGGGATCTCTTAACAATCCTGGGATCAGAAGTCTGGAAGTGAGGCCCAGGAAACTACCTGAGATGGCTCCTCCAATCTAACTCCTAGCCTGGGGCACTCCCAGCCCAACAGCATCTCCCCACAGGGCCTCAGAGAGCCAGGAACTTGCCCCTGATCCCAAGCCTCATTAGAGAGGGGATGAACAGCTGCTCCTGCAACAAAGAGATCCTACTTACCGAAAGGCCCGACTCCAACAAAACCTTGGGCAGGTGTTGAGGATGCCCCAAAGGAGAGGTTGCCACCTGATGTGCCCACCCCAGGAGCAGCGCTGTTCTGACCAAAGGTGGGTGTGGAGGTGCCTAGAATGGAGAAAGCAGAGGCCATCCTAGCAGAGGCAATGGGGCATTCCCCACCCCCATACCTGAGCCCTGGAGCAGTTTTCTGAGGGGCCCACCCAAAGCAGTGCATGCTTCCACCTGGGGCTCAGGGGCGCCTGTCTGTCAGCCTGCTACCCTCTGCTGCTGCTGAAGGAAACGGCCCTCACTGCTGTCTTCTGTCTTCCTTAGCAGTAGGACCGTTCTGTTTCCTTGGCCAGCAGAGCAGAGCGGAGCACTCGGTGGACTCTTGCCTTACAGCATGGCCAGGTTACCTCTCCTAAAAGACCAATACACTGTCTCTTGGCCTGTTTACTGTTGACCGGTTTCCTCTAGAAACCCAAGCCTTCCACAGAACTCCATTCCACCAGGTGGGTCCCTTAATCGTGCCCGGAGGCCCACAGGAACCACCGCCCTGCCCCCTCCATGAGTCCTGCTCTCGAGTACTGGCGCTGCTGTCGCTGCAGTCCCTCTCTAGGAACCTGTGTTCTCTCACACGCGCCTGTCTCAGGGTCTGAAGCATGGCAGGTGTCCTTACTGCTCCTGAAGGGCCACCCCTGCCACCCCATGCCTGTCCTCTACCTCCTCTTTCAGTCACACCCTGTCATCACCGGGAAGTGCTGGAGCTCCGATCCCAAGCACACAGCGCACTTTCTCCAGCTCTAGTTGTCGTCCTCCACCTCTTGAGGCCTCCAGCCCTTCCTGCTGCACATTCTCAAGTTCAGCCAAGTTTTTACCAGCTATGTAGTTATTTTAGGTCTACATTTTAACACCTCAATGTTGTGAGGGAAAAACAGTGCTGACTGGTCTCTTTAAATTCCTAACCACGGCCCTCCCTGGTGGCGCAGCGGGTTAAAGCACAGCACTGAGAAGCTGAAGCAACTTCCGCACGAGTTCGATTCCCGCCTGCCCCCCAGGAGACCACAAGGCCCGGCAGACCTCTCCTGACCCGCCCGCTGCTCCCCTCAGCAGTGTACTTCGTCGATTTGCCTGTTCTGCTCCCCACTCTGTCTCTGGTGAAGCCTCTCGCTGCCCCTGAGCCTCTGGCCTGTACCCCAGCTCTGTATGCACAAATAAATCTTAAAAAAAAAAAAAAAATCCTAACCACAATTTCCCAGTTTTCAAAATGCCTGCAAATTCTTAACAGTACCTTGTCTCTCTCCCCAAGACATTATTCCCAGAGGATCCTGCACACGTACTGCTTCCATCTACTTCCCACTCACTCAAATTTCATGAAAAAGCAGAAGCTTCAGGATCAAACTCCTTATAGCTCAACTTCCACATGGCAACTGAGCTCATTTCATTCTTAGCTTGAAAATCTAGTGATTTCCCTTCACACTTAAAATGCAAATGTTTAGGGCTGGCCATGAGTAACTTTCAGCTCTGCCTCTCAATTTGACACAACTCCCATTTTTAAACTTCTAGTCACACCTTGCTTAACCTACCAAGCTGATCTGTCTTCACACCTCTACTTGGCTACTGCTGCGCCGGCCACGCTCTCGTACACTCCCCCAACTCGCTGCCCCCATATACCATAAACAGTCTTGGCTTACAAGTGGTTTCCCTCAGAAAGGTCTCCCTGAACACCTGACGGCCATTAATTACATACCGTATCAAGGTATTTGTCACAACATGACACTGTATTTATATACTTCACATCTAGCTCTTCACTACCATAAACCGGCGCCATTATGAGTGGAAACTGTTAGCACTTATGACAGGGCTGGCACAGCCTGAGTCAATGCCCACTCTTACCTCCGAACACAGGTTTGCTCTCTGGTGTGCTGGCCACATTGAAGGTAAAGGGTGTGTTCTGGCTGGGGGCGCCCAAGGTGCTCTGACTCAAGCTCCCCCCAAATGGGGTGGCATTGCCAGTGGTCCCACTCTGTCCTGTTCCAAAGCTGAAAGCCCCTGAGGTGGAGCTGGTGCCCGGGGTAGCCACATTGATCCCAAAGCCCCCGCTGGCAGCTGGGGCCGCCGAGCCCCCGAACGTGAAAGGCGATGGCGTTGTGCTACCGAACAGTGAGCTAGAGCTGGTCCCACTGCTGGTAGTTTGGGTTGTAGCTCCAAAGCCAGAGGTGGTGGCTGCACCGAAGGAGAAGACAGCTGTGGTGCTGCCAAAGGCGGGCTGGGTGCTGGCGGAGGTGCCGAAGGCAGAGGCTGTGGGTTTCAAACCACCGAAAGCTGACTGCGCAGTGCTGCCAAAGGCGGGCTGGGCCGGGGCTGGCGCTGGAGCGGCACTGGGGGCCGGGGCTGCAGAGTTCCCGAAGGCAAAGGAGCTGCCGAAGCTCGGGGCCAGGGTTGGCTTGGCTGCCCCCTGCTGCTGCCCATCAGTGGCCCCAAAGGTGGGCTGGGGGTTGGCTCCCGGGTAGGATGTGAGGGTGGGCTTCGTGCTGGAGCCAAAGGGAATGTTGAATGCCGGGGTGGTGGTGCTACTGAATGTCAGTGTAGGCTGGCTGGTGGTGACAGGGGCCGAGGTGGTCAGGGCGCTGCCAAAGCCGCTGAAGGCAGCGGTGCCGCTGCTGGTGGCTGTCTGAACAGCACTGGGAAGGGACTGGCCAAAGGTGGTGACTGTTGTTGAAGCAGGTGTGGCAGGAGATTTGCCAAACTGGAATATGGAGCTTAGGGTGGGGGTAAAGCTGGCACCAGAGACGGGGGGAGTCCCGAAGAGGAAAGGCTGGGAGGCGGAAGTGGTGGTGCTGGTTGCACTGCTCGTGGTGTTTGTCACGGTGCTCATGCTAAAGCCAAACACAGGCTTGGGAGCAGAGTCCGCAGATGTGCTGGCTGTGCTCATGGAAGCCACTGCAGAGGTGGCACTGACTTGGCCAGAGAAGAGAGGCGCGCTTGTGGTAGTAGCTGGAGTAGATGTCTGATTGAAGAAGGGAGTTGACAGGGGAGTGGACATGGGCGCAGATGTAGCTGGCCCCATGCTGTCAAAGATAGGCTTGAACGTGAGGGGTGAGGTGCTGGGGGTCATGGGGAGGGCAGAGGTGGAAGACGCTGCACTTGTGACCTTGGAAGGGCTTGATGGCAAGGGGCCTTCATTCTCACTTTTAGGTGGGGCCTCAAAAATGGGCTTGAATGTGGGAGATGCTGAAGACACATCAGGAGCTGCAGAGGCAGGAGGGTTAGGTGGGGGGGTGCTCAGCATTCCAAACAGAATACTTTGCTTGGGGGTGGGGGATGGCGCAGCTAGGGTTTGTGGTTTGGCGGGCGTGTCAGCCTGAGGGGCCAGAGGTGACTTGGTGGTGTCAGTGATTGGTACTGTGGAAGATGCAGGGGTCAGGCCCAAGAAAGTGACTGTAGGCTTGGAGTCTGAGGAGGTGCTTGGAAGGGGCCCTGACTGTGAAGAGCCAAGAGGCACTGGGAGGCCAGTAGTCTTAGGAGATGAATGGGTCTCGGTGGTTGTTGCTGCTCCAGCAGATTCTGAAAAGAAGAACAGAGAAAGTAATGTTGAAAACCTCAAACATGAGGGAAATCAACATTTCAGTTTCTTCCCTGTGCTTCGAACAGTGCTAGGGTGTCAAGAGCCTATTGAGTCCATAAATACAACTCAATCTGCATCATAAGCCTTTAGTGTTCATTCCTTAAATCAGGGAAGTGTCTGTTATTGCTGCTCTTCACAGATCTTAAGAAATACAGAAGTAGAGAAAGCCTGGCCTAAATGAGGATTACTATGTGAAACAAAGAACAAGCCATCATCTCAGTTCAAAATTCAGTTACTTGCCTAGATATACGTTAGTCTTCTAACAGAGATCTATTTGTTATCATATGTGAAGTGCAGAACACATAGTAATCAGGAATGAGACAGCCTTGCCCTGAGTCCTGGAAGAGCTGACACCTGGCGTAAGTTACTGTGCGTGATAGAGGGCACAGGACGTACACACAGGAAGCATTATGATGACATGGGGGTGGGACAGGCAACAGACCTTTGAAAACATACAGGGGAAAATAATTCGTATTTTGGGTTGACACTAATATAGAGTGACAAGCTATCTTAACCAGGTAACCACATTTACACTTCAGAGAGACCTCATGAAGCAAGCACTAATCTCAATTTATAGATGTTGACAGAAAGGTTCAGCATAGCTGGACTTGGTTTCAAATCAAGAGCAATCTGACTATCATAACTAGGCTGTCATCCCTAGTGTGTTACAGCGCTCTCTCTCTAAATGTTCCTGGATGGGAGAATGCTGATGCTCTTTGTCTGCAACAATTCTTGTCTGGTGAGCCAGAGTAGGGTTAATCTTTCCATCAAGTTCTATCAGATAGAGGCCAATGATGCTTTTAATTCAACCTGAACAAAGCTGGTGTCATTATGTGGCCTAGAGCAAGCTCTCCCACTCACCTGGGGAGGATGGCAGGCCTGGGGAACTGTGCATCTTCTTCAAGCTCTCCAACAGTGGGTTAGTGCTCGGGGCGGGGGGAGGGGCTGGGGAAGCAGCCGCCCCAGCAGGAGGCAGAGTAAAAGTAAAAGGCTGGGTGGGAGGTGGGTTCTCAGTGACAGAGCTCGAGGCGGCATCTAAGGAAGAAAGGGAAGACTGAATGACAGGCCACTTTTACTTAGGGTTCTTTCCAGATGATACAGCCTGGAGCACAAGATGCTCTGCAACTCAGCGTAACTCACTCAAACGCAGTGCTCACTGTTCCCCAGATTCCACTGAAGACCCCTGTGGACTTCTCAAATGAGAAAGCAAAATTCAGAGGAGACACACTTTCTTCCCTGGAGTGTGAAAATAATCTATATTTCTTACCAGGTTTCTCCTCCAAGACTTTGTTAAACCATTGCAATGAAGCTTTCTTTTCCAAGTCTAGGTCTTCAGCAGTGATCGAATAACCAAGCTGGGGAGGTGGAGGCTACCCAAGAGAAAAAGAAGGCAGGTCAATCAGAAAAAATCGTGTTTAGTCATTCTAAGACAGGAGAGCGAGGGTGGGGTGGGCAGGATGGATAGACTAGGTTATACCAAGGTCAACTGGTCTCCTCGCCTGGAGGGCAGTAGCTGGATCTTTCTTTTGCGTTGCCCAGAGCTGCCAGGTGTAGATGGGGAATTCCACGAGTTCTGTTTTTTCCATGTTGTTGTATCTGCAACTAGAGAAAGAAATATACACTTGTTTCCTTCTTCTCTTCCTCTCGAAATTGATAAAGGAAAACCTTCCTGGTTTTTAACATGTAATTTTCCTTAGTATCTCTAAGAGATTCTATCTTCCATGCTTTGAGTCCTTGGGTGGTGTTTCTAAGATTACTTCTAACTGCCAGAAGGAGAGAGTTGTTCCAAGTGCATGTGTACGGCTGCTGAATGGACAGAAATTACCTGGATTGCTCAGAAACCTCAATTTCAGTTTTAGCCCTGTCCTACAGTGATGGTGCATTATATACTGCATTTGTCTGTGTCGCCTTTCTCCCTTGCTAGACTATACATCTCTGGAGAAGGGAAAAGCCCAATGTGTGTTTTCCAAAAGAGTATTCTATGCATCCTCCATATGTACAATACCAGTACCACAAGTCACTCCTGCTCATTTACCCACTTACCTTTTTCTCCCTGGGACTCCTTCTCTGTTACCAATGGAGTCGAAGAACTAGAAGGATGAGAAAGCTCCTCTTCTCTATAGGAGGAAAAGGCAGAATAAAGTTCAGAAAGACTTCCTGATGAGACACACTGTAAACTTCTTATATTCCTTCTAAAGATCAACTGGTAACTAAGCAGATGACAGAACAACCATGATTTAAAACCTCAGTATTTATCATTATAAATTTTTTATCAGGCCAAAAATCATTTAAAAAACAAAAGAAAATTCCTATAGCAATGAAGGAAGACAGTTCATGGAAGCCACCATCTTATTAAACACTGACTCAAAAACAGTAATCGTTAAGACCTTCCTTACAGCCTGCCGAGTTCCTGAGCACCCTAAGTGCAGAGGTCTCTAAGAGAGCGTGTTCTAGTCAACCAAAGGCACAGAGCATTGAGGGGTCCAGAATGTGACTGTCTGCTGGTGCCACCTTCCTCTCTGGTCTGCCCGGCCCTCACCTGCACCCGCTCCTACTGCCGTCTGAGCAAGAGCCAGCGCACAGGTGCTGTATGTGGCGAGAGCAGTGCAGGGGGCATTTCACCATTCTAGAATCTCTTGGTTTCTTGAAGTCAAAGCTGCAGAAAATCTAGAGCCAAGATTTCCCTGCTTTTCGGACCTCTCATTAGACCACAACAAACAATAAATGATTACCTGATTTTCTTTGCTGGCCTCTCTGGTGTCTGGGAGCGGGATGAAGCTGGGCTGGAGAAGGGTGATGAACTGGGACCACTTCTCTTCCAATGCTAAGTCAAACAAAAAGCAACATGACTGACTCTGGTTGACAGTTTAGTATTTGTCCTTCAATGTAATTTTGTGGTTCTCTTCATCAATGAATGCAGTTTCTTTTGAAGTGACTAAAAAATACTTCTCTATGAAAAAAAGACTTGTAATAAGAAAGCCAACTACAAATATTTACTATGGGGAGAAAAAAGTAATGAAATGTAGCTAACAATGTAGAAGAAATGAATGTATTTTCTGAATATCTATGATGTGTACAAGTTACTCTATGTTGCCTATGGAAATTCAAGTAAGCACTCTGCAAATAATTTCACAAGTCTTTAGTCTAATTTGAAGTATACTGAACTATACCACACTTTTCCTATGCAGTTTCTAGTGATTTCTTATTAAGAGCTGCAACATGGGGCCCACCCTGGTGGTACAGGTGGCACAACAGGCTACAGCACAGTGCTATGAAGCTACTGCAGTCACAGCAGCACGAGTTGATCCCTGGTCAGGGAGGTGACCCACATGGCGTGGCAGACCTCTCCTGACCTGCCTGCTGCTCCCCTCAGCAGTGTATTTCAGTGGATCTGCCTGTTCTGCTCCCCAATCTGTATCTGGTGAATCCTTTCACCCCCTACACCTCTGGCCTGTACCCCAGTTCTTGGATGCATAAATAAATCTTTTCAGGCCCCCCACACCCCCGGTGGCACAACAGGTTAGGGTGCAACACTGAAAGCTAGCTGCAGCCACTTCAGTAAAAGTTCGATCCCTGGCCCCGGAGGTGATCCACATGGTGCACAGCCGACCTCTTGTGTCTCTCCCGCTGCTCCCTTCAGCAGCGTACTACTTCACTGATCTGCCTGTTCTGCTCCCCACTCTGCCTCTGGTGAATCCTCTCACCATCCACACCTCTGGCCTGTACCCCAGTTCTGTATGAATAAATAAATAAATCTTATAATAAAAAAATAAATCTTTTTTTAATAAAAGAGCTGCAACATATAAACCAATATATAAGCACATCACATAAACAAAAACTCACATATAACAGAAGTTCAAATGAGGAAGGAAGAGATTTAAAATGAAAAATAGGTCATAAAACGGGAACAGTCTACCCATTAATATCAAAAAGCCCAAGTCTGAAAATGAACTTGAGAAAAATGCTTGAATCAGTAAGATTTTTATCATATGCTTAGGCAAAGAAGAAAGACAGTCATTTGAAAAAGAAAAAAAAAAAAACTTGGGATTTACACTTTTTTTGGTTTTAAACAAAGTACCAAAGGTGATTATAATGTTTAATGAGAGTTGAAGGCAAGCAGGTTTAACAACTGGGAGGAAAGTATTTTATCTTTACATCTTACACTACACGTCTACAAACCCCAGAATTACACATAAGAATAACACAAAAGAACTGCAAGAGTTTTTAAATAAGCTGGGATAAGGAAAAGACATTTTATGCCAGAAACAAAGGAAAGAAAACTGACAGGCTGTTACTCAAAAATTAACATTAAAATATTGCCATGTAAGATTTTTCTGCACATCGTTTGTATCATTTGAACTTCCACTCATTGCAATGTTTACATGAAATGGAAATAAAATCAATGTGGGCAGGAAACAAAACATCCAAAAACAAAAATCAGAAACAAAGTTAAAAGGCAGACAATTTCAATTACTGTGATGAACTAACTTATTTTTTTATTTGTGCATACAGAACTAAGGTACAGGTCAGAGGTGCAGAAGCACTCAGACGATTCATCAGAGACAGAGCAGGGAGCAGAACAGGCAGAGTGACCAAGAACACTGCTGAGGGGAGCAGCGGGTGAGACAGGAGAGGTCTGCCGCGTCAAGTGGATCGCCTCTAGGGTAGGGGATCGAACTCACACTCTAGGGGCTGCAGCCAGCTTGCAGTGTCGCATCCTAACATGTTGCGCCACCCGGGAGGGCCTGAACCTCCTTCTTAACATGTAAAAACGTTAAATCTTGCTATTCCATATAAACATAATGAATGTATCAAATGAAAACTGGGCAAAGAATATAACAAGGCAAGTCATAAAAAGAAATCTGGCAGTCAATTTAGTTTTACACTGTCATTCAGGTTTTATTTGATGTCTTATTTCAGTAAGGTACTACTCCTTTATACCTTCTTAGGAATACAAGTACACGAAATTTACAATCTGGAAAAGAGATAGGACAAGTATACAAACTGACTATAATAGTTAAGAGAAAAGAGGTCTCTAAAAAGGATCCCAAGAAAAAGGGAGATGTGGGGAGTTCGGTTAAAAGACTCAACAAAAAACAAAGACGACATTTGACATAGCTCTTCATGATGCGACACTTGAAAGACAAACTAGACAGGCTGGCAGCGAGAAGCACACATCATTTCAGATGCAGAACATAACAATGGAAGTGAAGGAAGCAGTTAAGTATCAGGTGCTTTTAGAAGATAAAAAATACTCTGGTTTGGCCTAAATATAGCGTGAGTGTGCATGCATACACACACGAATAATTCAGGACAAGAGTCAGAAATTCAGGCTTCTCTCTCTCTCTTTCTCTTTGACACACACACACACACACACACACACACACACACACACACACACAATATATTCAGGGCAAGAGTCAGAAATTCAGGCTTGAAGTTCCGAAGGACAGTGTTACTATTCCTACTAAGGAAAACATCACAGTTTGTGGGAGAGAGACATCAATGCCTCAACAGTTCACTTTCTATAACTGGCATCAGCCTAACATTTGCAATGATTTTATAATGTGAAAATTAGAACTTCTAGCATGAACAATCGCAATAGTGTTCTGCAAAAATACAATTAAGTCAAATGTCTATACTTTCACTTGCACCAAATACTAGGGATGTCATCTGAATTGATTACTGGGGATATTCACAACTTCAGTGTACATTTCTTTCAAAGAGAAACTTCAACATAAAGAACTCCCATATCACTATAATCTCCCCTTCCTTATATTTCTCTACTTTGCTAAGAATTTAAAACAGTTGATGCCTGAGATATTTCAAAGATAATTCTGATCAAAATTGATGACGTGGCTCTCTGTTCCAGCTACGCTAGTTCTAAGAACTTATATTCAAATATCAGATCAACCATACAACTAACTGCACAGGTACTGATGTTGATGAGTACATTTCTTACAGGTTACAGGGCCTACGAGGAGTGAAGGTGTTTACAACAAAATCTGGTCATGTTTCAGCTTCAGGGCAGGTAGAAAATGCTGAGGAAAATAAGTACATCTGTTTGAAGGTCTAGCAGGGCAGAAGCTCCATCCAGGCAGTGAGACATGGGCAGCCGAGAGGGCGGAGCCACACTCAGACCTGCTTCTTCCTTCGCGTGACTGCCAACTTTTGAAGTTAAAGCTGCATCTGAGAAGCTGACAAAGGTTTTGCTAAGTGGGGTTTGATAGATTTGGTAGGTATGGCTGGAAGACAAAAAGTGAATTCAAGGCTTTCCAAAGTGGAGGGGCCCCATAAACATCTCAGGAGTTTGGCTGGAGTCTCTAGGGTACATATTAGGGTTTAGGGCAAATCAGAAGTAAGCTCACCCTCACTAGAACTGACAGCAATTCAGAATCAAGCCTATTCCAACTGGCCAGAATAATCTGCCCCTCTCCTAGTCGCTTCATAGGAGCAAAACTAAAACCACTCTGGAGGAAGGTAACATGATTCAGAGCTTCTGGCCATCATCACATACTCCCAACCCCCAATACCGGACCGAAACAAACAGTGAAAAAACACAAGTTTACAAGAAGATAAATTTAACCAATAACCAAGAGGGGGAGAAGCAGACATTAGTAACACAAGACTCAACTACTGGAGTTAATGAATAAGACTTTATAATAACTGTTTATTACAAGAATTTAAATGAAAACACAGGGACTCTTGGCAGACAAATGTAAAGTATGAAAAATAACACAAATGAAATTAAGGATCCAATGGATGGGTTAAATAGATTTCATAAAGCTAAAGAAAATTAGTAAATTAGAAAACAGTAACTAAGATGGGGGAGACAAATGATGGAAAACACAGAGGAAAAGACATAACATGGAAAACAATGAACAGACCTAATGTGTTGGGAATACCAGAGAGGTGAGGAAAGGGACAGAAAATGTCTGAAGAGATAATAGCTAAGGAAATCATCAAGCTATACAATCAACTCCGAGAAAGATAAACCACAACTGAGCACTTCATAATAGAATTCCTTTTAGAAATGCAAAAGGGGCCAAGATCCAAGACAACTCTGAAGAGGAAAGAAAGAAATAAAAAGTCAAATGTCTTAATGATATTTGATAATCAAGACTTAAAGACTGAGTGGCACAGAGGTAGGAAAACTCATCAGTGGAACAGAACAGAACCTAGAAATGGAGCCACGTGAATAAGGGCACTTACGGGGTGGTAAAGACTGAGCTGCAGCACAGAAGGGGAACGAGGGTCTTTTCAATAAATGTCGCTGAGTCACATGGATATTTTATTTATTTATTTATTTTAAAAAAGATTTACTTATTTATGCATTCAAGAACTGGGGTATGGGCCAGAGGTGAGGGTGTGTGTGTGTGAGAAAGAGAGAAAAAGAGAGTGAGAGGAAAGATTCACCAGAGACAGAGTGGGGAGCAGAACAGGCAGATCGGCGAAGCACACTGCTGAGGGGAGCAGCAGGAATCGAACTCGTGCTACAGTGGCTCTGGAGAACCTCATAGTGCTGTGCTTTAACCTGCTGCACCACCAGGAAGGGCCCCAAATGGGTATCTTAAAAGAAAAACATTAATTGATCCCTGTATCATACTGCACAAAAATCAATTTCAGATGGGTTAAAGATCTAAATGTGACAGCTTCTAGAAGGCAGCCTAAGAGAGTATCATCATGACAACAGGTTTAAAGCGATGTTCCAAGAGTACACAAAATATACTAGCCTTAAGTGAAAAGAGTGTAAGAGTGAAAATAGCAGAGTAGGAAACACTTGTTGCAATACCTGAGATTTGCAGAGGACTTGCATGAAAAGAACATACATAAATGATAAGAAAGACAACCTAATAGGAAAGGCCAAGAACTTGAAAAAGCATTTCATAAAAATAGAATATACAAATGCTGTCAATCAGCAGTTCATACTTCAACCTCTTCAGTAAAGAGGAAAATGCAAACAAAACTACAATAAATGCTGCCTCATACCCATTTGGTACCGGCACCAAGAATTAATGAAAATACTCTTAGACTGTGCTGGGTTTCCAAGGTGTACCAATGGAACTACTTAAAAAAACTGCTTAACATTTAAAAGTGAACATAGACATAACTTTTTATATGTGTACTAAAAGACTGACACAAGAATATGGGCAGCAGCACTGTGCTTGACAGTTCCAAACTGGAAACTCAAATGTCCAATAGTAGAATGGGTAAATATAACTGTAGTATAGTCACATAGTAGAATAATACGCAGTAGTGAAAATGAAAGACATTCCCACATGTAACAATATGGATGAATTACACAAGTAAAATGTTTAATGAAAGAAGCCAAACACAAAAGAAAGCACATTTATGTTTCCATTTATATAAAGTTGGAAAACTATACATGGCACTAATATTCAGGAATAAAGGGAGGGAAGGAGGGAAGTAAGAGAGAGAGAGAGAAGCAGTGATGCGTAGGTATAAAAGGGGATTCTGGGTTTTGAAAATTATTTATATTTGACTTGGGTGGTGGTTACATGGAGCTGTACTATTTACTTTCCTGCACCATATGCTATAATTTAAAAAGTTATTAAAAATACAGACATGGAACCATGCAAGATATATGACAAAAGACAATGTGAAACATCCAAAAAGTGTATGTATTACACTCACAGTGTGTGTCTGTACTCACAGTGGGAATATTAATAATAGGTTCATGAGAGTGTGCCTGGACAGGGGAGTTTTACTTATTACTTAATAGTTCTCTATTCTTATTAAAAAAAAAAAAAAAGCTCAAGAAAGGTAATATTTGCATATTACAAACTCTAACAAATAGAATATACAATAAAAGTTTCAGACTATCTTAGTTTTGAGTTATTTCCAGTTTCTAATATTCTGTCAGAATCATTCTGTACACACTAGAAGATCATAGAGAAGCCAGCAGCATAAATAATAGAGGGCACTGATTCACATCTGCACCTGGTGTGCAGTCCTGCACCTGGCTTTTTAAAATATATTTTTGAGATCATTCACCGTAGTGCCTATTCCTTTTAATAGTTACAAAGTAGGACCCTCCCGGGTGGCACAGTGGGTTAAAGTGCAACACTGTGAAGCTGTCTGCAGCCCTGGCAGCACAAATTCAATCCCAGACAGGAAGATGACCAACATGGCACAACAGACCTCTCACGTCCCCCCTTCACTGCTCCCCTCGGCAAATCAGTAGATCTGCGTGTTCTGCTCCTCACTCTGTCTCTGGTGAATTCTCTTAACCCCCTACACCGCTGGCCTGTACCCTAGAGTTCTTGTATGCACAAATAATCTTTAAAACAAAAAAAGTAGCTACAAAGTATTTCAATTTATGGAAATATTCACCCAGTTATTTACCACCTCTGAAAAGGTCTATTTACATTGTTTCCAAACTTCTGCATTAAAAATATTAGTCAGCATCTTGAGTATATACCTATAGGATTAATTCCTAAAGCAGCTGGATCAAAGGGCATATATGTGCCTCTCTAATGAGGATAATTACTGCCAGCACGCCCATCAAATGATACTGTCACCAGCAATGCACAAGAAGTCTGCTTTCTTTAATTTGGGGTTGCTTTCTATTTGATACATTTAAATCTTTAGTTCATTTGGAATATTTCTCTAATATATGAAAAGCTGCTCAAACTCACAGAGATATGAAATGAAATACTACTACTCACTTGTCTAACTAGTGAAAATCTAAAGCTGTTGACAACCTAGCCTGCTGAGGCTGTGAAAAAATGATCATTTCCCTACAATGCTGCTGGGAATACTAACTAGCACATACTCTAGGGAGGGGGATTCACAAAATCACAGATACAATGAACCTTTACCTCTATCTCAGAAATATAAAAGCCAAGGAAGGAAATGATTTATAAACTATATTATTAGCAGCATTAGTTGAAATAGCAGATAGAAACAACACAATGTTTACCAGTGGAAGATGAAAGTAACTATTTAGCAGTAGTTAAAAAAAAAATACATTGCTATATACTGCTATAGACTTATAATATATAGTAATTTTAAAAAACAAGTTTTTACATATAAACTTGCATACATTAACCTTAAATGTTAGAAGGCAGTGGTGGGAGTGGTTATAGAGACATTGTTTCACATACAGATTTTTTAAAAGTGAGGTATTAAAAAGAAAAAAAACGGAGAAGGGAACAAACTACAGAACTTTTTTCAATGTACCTTGCTCTATTATATGTTCTTTGGGATAATTTAAGTATTTTACATCATTAAAACCAAACTGTATCAAGAAGAAAAACAGAAATTCCTAAAATATACAGAACAAGTGAACATTTACAGTTATCAAGTTGGTGGTATAACTAAATGAGAACAATTAATTCACATTATTTCATGTTTTCGTTATACATTCTTAGTATTCATAGAGTGTCTATACTAATGATAAAATGAATCCTTGTAAGTAACTTTTTTTTTTTAAACATTTATTCATGCATACAAGAATTGGGGCACAGGCCAAAGGTGTGGGGGTGAAAGGTGAACGTAGGTAATTCTCTAATTTCACAGTCTTCCTGTTAAGGACACTGTTATTTTAAAATTGTGTGTACCGGGAAGCATCAACTATGTAAATATGACACAACACTTTCTGGGGTAAGAATACATTAAAAATAAAGATCAAAGAAATTATGTATAAAATTCTGTAATTCACAATCTGAATTTGAAGTGGCAAAGTGAATTAATAACTGAGATTCCTCTTTCTACAGAATATGTATATCTTAACTCTCCTAGAATTGCTGTCTCTGAATACATGAATAATGAAGGCTACTGCAAGAAATAATAAACTTCAGTCTTGGATTGGAGGTGTACAAGATGAATTTTTTTTTGGTGAAAATGTAATGAAACTATAAAGACTACTGGGTTGAAAACAAAAGGATGTTAAGAGCCAATCTGAAAGGGACCCAAACTGGCAAATGTTTAAAATGTTTGCATGCTAAAAAGAGTTAACTGTAGAAAAATTGAGATGCTCACAAAGATAATACATAGCAACAGTGAAAATCTCCTGGAGACCCTTGGAGCTGGTTATAGTTTTAATGCCTTCTTACCTTGTTATCCCTACAAGTAGGGCATGCTGTCTATACAGAATTCCAGTTAATAAATTCAAAGGGCCTCCCTGATGGTGCAAAGGGCTAAATCTCAACAGTATGAGCTATCCCCAGCCACTGCAGCAAGAGTCTGATCCCCAGTCAGGGAGCTGACCCGCATGGCACACCAGACCTCTCCTGTCTCACCCACTGCTCCCCTCAGCTGTGTATTTCAGATCTGCCTGTTCTGTTCTTCACTCTGTCTCTGTGAATCCTCTCACATCCTGCACCTCTGGCCTACATTCCAATTCTTGTATGCATGAATAAATAAAATCTTAAAAAAAAAGAGAGGTATTTAATTGGCCTGTTGTGATGATGAACGAGGAAATGCTTATAAGGGGCTTACCACAAGGCCTAGCATAGAATAAGTGCTCCAAGGTTACTGTGATCTTCATTCCTATAACTGCACTGACTCAGGTCATCTTTCATTTATATTCTGTAAAAGATTTCTGGATAGAGTGACTTGTCTTAAATGTTCTCCCAACAAAAAAATTCCTCAACACAAGCTTTTATGTTTTTTCTACCTATTGTATATTGAGTATCAACAGGCACTGTAACAGGAACTTTTCAACCAATTCCTCAGTCTTACAGATTGAAGAGATAAAGAGATGAGATGAGAGAAAGTTAGAGATGAAAAAGAGTTTAACGTATCTGCACACAGCCCTACAGCAACTAAGTGTGAGAGTCAAGATTTGGAACTGTCCTATGTAAACGCTTTTTGTTTAAAAAACTTCCATAAAAGTCTCAATGCCTATAGACAGAATTTCAAAGCAATACAGACTCATTTTCCTTTTTCACTCAAATTCATACGTCAAATTGTTCACCTTTCTAATATTAGATTTGCACTTCTGTACTTGGGTTTACTTTCTTGGTTTTCTAATATATACCACTGGTCTATGGTGTGTGTGTGTGTGTGTGTGTAAAAAGAATCCATGTCTCCTTTGTTAGTTGAGAGGTAATTTCAATATCTGACAAAAAGGTGGTTACTGAAACACTAGCTAGTCAATTAGTGCTGGGAACTCATTTCTCCCATACCACAAGATGAACGTACCTGAGAGAAACCTCGAGTAGAGCTGTAAGAGCTGGTGATGGCATTGCGGCTGGAGCTTGGAATACCACCTGTATATGTACTCGTCAAGGAACTCAGAGAAGAGGTACGGGATCTCTTATTCAAGTGGTCATCTGAGCTCTGGGAATTGAGCCCTCTCTTTAGAGACCCAGGCCTAATACAACAGGAAAAAGAAGAGATATTCTATAGAAGGCAACATTCTCTTAAGGTTTCATCCCTGCTCACAGCATCTTTTTTTAAATAAACTTAAAAGGATAATATTCTTAATTTGAATTAATAATTCAGCAAAGTGTATCTGACAAAGTCAGGATGGGAAAACAAATTTTTTTTGCATGTATTATTATTATTATTTTTTATATATAACAGCTTATTTTTACATCATTTTGTACATTTTTTTTTCCCATCTCAATTGTAATCCCCGCGGGTTTCCCATCACCAAGTCACCCGTGTGCCATCACCATAATCCCATGCACTTCCCTCCCCACCCTCCACCCCGTTTTTGATCCCATTCCCCACTCCACCCCCACAAAATGTCTCTGGTATATGGTTGTTCATTATTTTTGTTATTTTCTCGCCTGGTCCATTATACTCCTGCTATGAGTGAAACCATCCGGTATTTTTCTTTCTCTTTCTGGCTTATCTCACTAAGTATGATCTTTTCCAGCTCCACCCAAGTTGCTGCAAAAGACATGTGTTTCTCTTTTTTGGTTGCTGAGTAATATTCCATTGTATATATGTACCACATCTTTTTAATCCAATCATCTACTTTTGGGCATTTGGGCTGCTTCCATGTTTTTCCAAATAAATAAAGCAGCAATAAACATGGGGGTGCAGGTATCTTTTTCAATCAGTGTTTTGTGTCTTTTGGGTAGATACCTAGGAGTGGGATTGCTGGGTCATAGGGAAGCTCCATGTTTAGCAGCTTGAGGAACCTCCAAACAGGGGAAAACAAATATTTTAAAAATTAAACAGATGAGGCCCTCCCTGGTGGCGCAGCGGGTTAAAGCACAGCACTGAGAATCTAAAGCCGCTTCCGCATGAGTTCGATTCCCGCCTGCCCCGGAGGTGACCACATGGCGTGGCAGACCTCTCCTGACCCGCCCGCTGCTCCCCTCAGCAGTGTACTTCGTCGATCTGCCTGTTCTGCTCCCCACTCTGTCTCTGGTGAATCCTCTCACCCTCCGCATCTCTGGCCTGTACCCCAGTTCTGTATGAATAAATAAATCTTAAAAAAAAAAAAAAGTAAACAGATGATTCAATTTTGTAATATTCTAGGAAATGCACGTGAATCAACAGTTAACAGAAAGCAAATCAGTAGCTGCTTTGGGGATGGGAGGAGGCATTACTAATAAGGAATACAGGGAAACCTTCCCAGTATACTGACAGTGGCAACCAGTATACTGACTGTGGTAATGTGTTACAGGTGAACACATGTTAAAATTTGTCACATTGTACCATTAAGCAGGCACAACTTATTGCATGTCAATTATAGTTGAATAAAGTTGCCTTAAAAAAAACAGAAGAACCAAGCATTTTTTCTAAGCCTCCAACTGAAACAGAAGTTTCCTCTCAATCTTTTCTAAGAATAGTCATGCATTACAATGCAGACAACTCTCACCCAGCATGATGGTCATGGGCCAGTTTATTTTTATTCTGGATGAAATGGATTTCCTTCAACTTTCACCCATGAATCCTATTTGGAGTCAAACTGACCAAGTTGTTTTCCCTCTTTCATGTGACAGTCTTTCAGTTCTTTTGAAAACGTTATCCTTCCCTTCCTCATTTCCTTATTCCTTTGAGATTTTTCTCTATGGGGTTATACTTTTAGACCTTCAAATATCCCTCACCTAACCCCCCAACCCCAAAAGAATCTTAGTTCCTTCACCTAGAATAAATTTCAATTTGTGAATATCTTTTCTTACAGAGTAGTGGCACCTACCCCCTGCACAGTGGGAGCAGAACTAAGGAACGAGGATGACTGCTGACTGCCACACCCATCTTTGCTCTCAATAAAGACTAGGAGAACATTCATCCTTTGGCAGTCACATCAGACTAATGAAACACTTCAGTAACCCCAAATCTTTCACATATCTGAGCCACTTTCTAATTCTTCTTCAAATGTATTTAAACTCAAATGTAGAAATTTAGCATTTATCTCAAATTTCACATTGTTGCTTATTATCTATTGCACAACCTTTATCTTTCTATTTACATAATTGGTTATCAAACAGTACTTACAAAACCTCTTAACATTAGCATGCTTTACTTACATTAATAAAAACTATTACAAGGAATCATACAGAAAATAGTGATTATGGCCAAGTTACTCAAAATGTCCCTTCCTGACTTAAAAGATCTGAATCTGGGCCTTCCCTGGTGACGCAGTGGGTTAAAGCACTGCACTAAGAAGCTAAAGCCACTTCCACATGAATTTGATCCCCGCCTGCCCCGGAGGTGACCACATGGTGTGGCAGACCTCTCCTGACCCGCCCACTGCTCCCCTCAGCAGTGTACTTCGTTGATCTGCCTGTTCTGCCCCCCACTCTGTCTCTGGTGAAGCCTCTCACTGCCCCTGCACCTCTGGTCTGTACCCCAGTTCTGTATACACAAATAAATAAATCTTTAAAAAAAAAAAGAGATCTGAATCTGAACTATTAAAACAATACAAAAAGAAAGGAAAACCTATAAGACAACAACTCACATAATGGCTTTTTTCCAAACAGTCTATGTCTTATCTAGATGGAGTTTCACTTACTTAGGCACAAAAGAAGCTGGGACTCCATTGGCCACCAGGGGCTCAAATGCTGAATGTCCACTTCCACTGCTATCATGGCGCCTGTGACAAAAAAAAAAAACAAAAAACAAAACGCTCAATGAATAAAATGACTTGTTTTATACTTAAACCATATTCTCATGTTCCTGGAGCCTAATACTACTTCTACAGAAAATAGGTTCTATGTAAGGAAAAGGCTGCTTAAAAATCTCAAAGATTCTGGGCCCTCTCTGGTGGCGCAGCGGGTTAAAGCACAGCACTAAAAAGCTAAAGCCACTTCCGCATGAGTTTGATCCTCGCCTGCTGCGGAGGTGACCCACATGGCACGGCAGACCTCTCCTGGCCCGCCTGCTGCTCCCCTCAGCAGTGTACTTCGTCAGTCTGCCTGTTCTGCTCCCTGTTTTGTCTATGGTGAATTCTCTCACCACCCATGTACCTCTGGCCTGTACCCCAGTTCTGTATGAATAAATACAATCTTTAAAAAAACAAAACAAAACAAAAAAATCTCAAAGATTCTGAAAAGTAAATGTATTCTAAGATTGTCTTGGAAATAAGCATCAAAATACTTCAAAATCTATTCAGGAGTATCAATTATTGCTAACTTCATCCTAAAGTAATACAAACACAAAGAGAACATCCCATCTTATACTAGTTAGAAAACAAAAACTGAAAAAAATTTAAAGAAAAAAAAGAACCACGTTTTAGGAACCAACTTACATGCCTGTAGTGCACCCTAGGGATTAACTTACCAAGTCTGTTAGGGAAAAACTTTTACATATGATAGTAAGAATGGTCTATGTATGGTGTATATAATCACTGTATATTCTAATTGTGGGAAAGAGTCTGACCTCACAGACTCAATGAGGTAAAAAAAAATTGCCACTGTGGAAAACATGAGAAACCTCTTTGGACCATAAAAATAGCTATTATTTTCTTTCTACTTCCACAACTCCCACGCCCTGCCACTTCTGCTTAGGTGGCTGGCATTAGCTCAAATTGCCTATTTGCAAATTTGTATCTGTAGTCATCATTACCTGACATTTCAATGTCATATAACCACACTTTTATTTATTGATGTTTCTCTACTTAACTTTGTCATCTAGTATGTTAAAGATGGCCAACTCTGAATCTGTCTTGTTCATCACTAACTGTAAGTAAGTTCTGGAACTTTGTGAGTACTCAATGTTGACTTAAAAAATAAGTGGGGAGGCTCTCCCTCGTGGCGCAATGGATTAAAGCACCACACCGTATTATGAAGTTCTCTGAAGCCACTGCAGCATGAGTTCAATCCCCTGCCCTGGGAGCTGACCCACCTGGCACGGCAGACCTCTCCTGACCCACTCACTGCTCCACTCAGCACTGTAATTTCTCAATCTGCCTGTTCTGCTCCCCACTCTGTCTCTGGTGAATACTCTTACCCATCACACCTCTGGCTTGTGCCCCAGTTTTGTAAGCATAAATAAATAAATAAATCTAGAGAAAGTTCTATTTTAAAAAAAAGTAGAATCTTGAACTGATTTCTTGGAAAGTCACTTAGTAGGTCCTAAGTTCTGCATCCTAACTAGCGACTTTAATCTCCTGTCTTTCCAAATGTAGAAAACAATTTATTCCATTTTCATTAAGTTACTAGAAACCAAATAATGAAATCGTTCTTAATCCCATTATTGATAGATCTATTATACTGTAGTCTTCACCATTCTTTGCCAAGCATTTTCTTCAGCACTTAACAACATTTCAACTGATGATTATCTAACTACATAACACAAGATTGCGAGGGGAAGACTGAGCATTCTCTTAAAAAAAATAAAACTGAACATATTTGCATCAAAAGGAAAAATGTTAGTAACAATGGCTAACACTTGTTACTCTTTCTACTTAGGGAAAAGTTAAATGATATAATTTATCTAACCTGTGCCTTAGGAAATGAACAGCAGTAAAGCCCTTGTTACCAAGTTCTTTCATGAAAGCTAAAGAAGGGGACCTACTAAGACTCATAAACTGGAGTTAGCATCTATATCTTTTTGGGAGTGATAGAGATTTCAATAAATGTCAGGAGCCCACATGGGAGGCCTGTTTAGAACTCTGCTGGACCCGTTACCTTCTTTTATTTTCCTGACCATCATCAAATATTTGGTCCTCTTCCTCCACTGTCCTTTTCTTCCTTTCTTTGAGAGCACTCAGTACAGTCTCCTTTGCACATGGATCTGGGGTATTACTTGACGGTGAAGACAGTGGTGAGTTGATTATCTGCTCTGATCTGTAGTAAAAGACAAGATGCTAGTAAGATACTTTAATTACCAAGCCATATATAGTACAGACTTCCGTCACTGGGAATCAGAAGTTAATCAACAAACAAAAATATAACTTATATACTCAAAGAAACTGCCCTTAGCAATTAAAATTATACTCAGGTAAATAAATAAATAAAAAACAAAATACTAAAAGATGATTCAATGTCAGGAGCCCACATGGGAGGCCTGTTTAGAACTCTGCTGGACCCGTTACCTAGAATATGGGATTTCTCATTCAAATAAGCAGACGCTTTACTTTTTTTGCTGTGTAAGAGTTTTGTCAAAGGAACAACTCTAGAAAATTAAAACTGATACAAACAGGTGTCTATTCTTCCAACAATACTCACAGCAGAGGACGAGTCAATCTGCTATCAGGAGGAGCAATCCTCACTGTCACTGGGCTGCACACCATTCTGGAATTGCGAGCAGATAGCACAGTCTTCTTATGATAACCATTCCAGCACACTGTGGGAAGTACCCCCAACAAGGAATACTGGGCCTGCTGGATTGGGTATCGTCTTCGAGGTGTTATTACAAACCGATTTGATAGCGTCCCGCAATCCCTGCAGAGAACAGGAGACATATTATGGAACTAAAGAAACTAAATTAAAGAATGTCAGAAAATTAAAATGACCAAAGAACTATGTGGATTTAGCCATTTTTGAGGGAGCTTAAGTTTCTTTCTAAATACAGAACACGGTGTTTTCATGGCAACCTTCCCTTACTCCATCCCAGACCAGAAAGTAGCAGCTGTTTAACATTTGTCCCTACAATGGTGGGCAACAATTTGAGAGGGAAAATGAAAACCCTGCCCGTACAAGTAATACTACAATGGAAAAAAAGTATTAGACCTTTTGAAGAATCCCTCCGTCTTTTCAATGTTATGTTAAGTCATCAGTCATACAAATCCAGAGCAAACATTTTCAACACCTAATTGGTCATGTTCTCAACTAAACACAAGTTGTCCCTTGGTATGGGGGGTGGGGGTGGACGGAGGATTGGTTCCAGGATCCTAACTGCTCACCTTCCTTGAATAGAATGATGTGGTATTTGCATATAATTTTCACACATCTTCCATACACTTTAAATATTGCTTAAAGACATATTATACTGTATTGTTTGGGCAGTCTGTAAATGTTTAATACAGACACAGCCATCCTAGTGTAAATACACCGTACTCTGGGTCTGGATGGTTGAACCACGTGATGTGGATTCGAAAGTGGATATGGAGGGCTGACTGTACATATCAAGATCTTAGTATTTTCATCAATCACTCAGCTACTGGAATGACATAAGAAATGTCTAATTTGGTCATCTTTATCAGTTAAAGAGGTGTTTTCTGGGAATACCTCTGAGCTCTGCTTACTGACATGTTTTCTCTGCCAGTTCAATACACACACACACATGTATATACATATTAAACGACAATCTGAAAGGTGGAAGGTATTTTCACCTGAAGTAGGTATACTTGAGTGGTTTAGCAAGTAGTCTGCTAAATCTACACCGTATTAAAACGCAGACAGTTCTAAGGAATAGTTTGGTATCACATCTCATTCCAAGGGTTAGAGAGGGGAAGAAGACAGCTGAAACACACCAGAGTATTTAAAGAAGATCAAATGACACAGAACCCACTGTGGATTTAAGGAGAAAGAAATTCGGATTTAAAAGTCCTCGATTCAAAGCCAGCCAATAGCAGTGGCTGGGGGAGATCCGCATTTCTTACCGGTGAGGTCTCCGAGAGGGTCGAAGAGGAGAGGGGAAGGAGGGGTGAGCGTGCTGAAAGCGAGGGACCGAGTGTGCAGGCTGCGGGGAGCGGACGGGTGGGCGGCGACCAGGCCGCTCCCTCAAGTCCCTGCCCTCCAGCGCGGGGGCAGGCTGCGGGGGGCCGGGCTTCCCTAGGTAACTGCCCATCAGAAGCAGTTCTGCAGGGTCGGGTCCTTCGAGGAGGGTCCGCGGCTCAAGGAGGTTTCCGTTTACCGCCGACTTGGTCGGAGGCGAGGCCAGCAGTGTCCGCTGACGCCGCGCGTTCCGAACCAGCGAGAAGGCGCGCGAACCGCGGGGCTCGCGGCTCAGTCCCCACCAGGCCGCGGTAGCCCCCACAGCCAGCCAGGCCAGCGCGGCCACCGCCGGCACCAGGTACAACACGAGCCCGAGCAGCGACAGGCCGAGAAACGCCGCCCCAGCTGGCCCGATGAAGCCCCAGCCCCGGCCCCGGCCGTCCCTGACACTCGCTATCGGTCGCCGCCGGTCGCCTCCTCCAGCCGCCGCAGCCGCCGGAGACATCGCGGCTCCGCGCCGCGGAGAAGACTTAAATATCCCAGCGTGCACCGCGCCGCGCACACCGCCGCCGCGCGCCAAATACGTCACTGCGTACGCGACTCGAAGGCGCGGCCGCGAGGGAAAAACGCTGCTGCCTGGTAAACCGACCCAATTTAGAAGATGCACCTCACTGGAACTGCGAATTCTGGTTCTTGACCTTTCGCGCGTATCTACCCTCGCAGCACCCAGCCAGAAGTGAGCCTGTGGAAGAACCGTCTTAAAAATAAAAGTTCCGGAAGGAACTACTCGCGTAATGCTCAATCCATAGTATATGCGAAGGGACTAGACTGAACTCCACAGAACTGATTGTTAACCCGGCCCTTGTTCCAGTTGTGGCCTGAGGTTGAGTTTTTCAGTTAATCTTTTTTCTGCCAGAGTATAAATAGCCAGAGCGCGTGTACTATTACAACTACAGTGGAAAGCAAGACCAACCATCCGTTTTAAAATGTGGATCTAGCGCTACTAAATTCTCCATAAGTCCAATAAATTGCGGGTCAGCCCTGAAGCTGCAATGTAAATTGAGTTCACGTTGGTAAACCAGGACAATTATCTACCAATTTTCACATCATGGCCCAGAAACAGGTTGCTCTTGAGGCTTACCTATGTAGTATGGGTGGTCTGAGAATGTAGATAACCGGTAATCCAGGGCTGCGGAGTGCGTTGGTGGAGGTTTTTTTTTTAAGAGCAACAGAAACGTTTTAGAATTTTATGGTGATTTTTGCACAGCCCTGTAAATTCTATAGTGTTAAGCAACAAAATTTAGAAATCTAATTAGCTTTTTGTTCAAAGATTCATTTACCTTTATAAAAGTGCTGCGAAGGTTACACAAGATGGAGGTTATTTAGACTGGGGGTTGGATGGAGTGGGCAAGATAATTGGTTCACAAAAATTCATATAAAATAATCTTCCCTTGGAGGGGGGATGTCTTATGCATATTACCTCATTGATGCTGATCTGGAAATTACAGTTTGGTTGGAAGAGGCTGAATATGCAAAGAAATTAGGTTTTTTTTTTTTTTTTAATTGTGTAACACTTAAAATTGTGAGGTCATGTCATCAAAAATTTTTTGGAGATTTATTTATGCATACAGAACTGGGGTACAGGTCAGAGGTGCAGGGGGTGATTCAGAGTCAGTAGGGAGAGCAGAGCAGGCAGATGTACTGAAATACACTGCTGAAGGGAGCAGTGGGCAGGTCAGAAGAGGTTTGCTGTGCCATGAGTTTGATCTCACCAGGGATCAAACTCATGCAGTAGTGGCTGTGGATAGCTTCACAGTGCTGTGTTTTAACCCACTGTGCCACCAGGGAGGGCCTGAAATTAGGTGTCGGGGTCTCCATTTTGGACCCGTTTCCCCTATTTTTAATAGTGGTTTATGAGTTACATTGACAGAATTGTTGAAAAAAATGATAGCCTGCTAATTCTGATTTTGTCCTGGCTCTGCTTCGTTGGCCATTCATCACTGATTTATTCATCCCAATATTGATATAATGAGGGCCTATGATCTGTAGACACCCTCAGTTTAGTAGGACAGAACTTTATAAAGTAGAAACTTAAAATTCAATGTGGTAAACAGGAAGTTACAATTATAGATGACTGCATCGCAGATAGCAACTCCATTGCTTGGTAATAACATGGAAAAGGAATAAAGTTGTTAATTCATTCATCCTGACTTCAAAATTTAACACAAAATGATAGTAATCAAATAACATGTTAACTGGCTTAGGGCTAGATATATATAGACCAGTGGGGAAAAACTAAGGGAACAGATAGAAGCCCATAAATTTATAGCCAATTGATTTTTGACAAGGGTGCCAAATCCATTTTATGGAGAAATGGGACTAGGAAAACTTATTTCTACATGAAAAAGAATGAATTGGAACACAACTTCACATAAAAAGCAAAGATTAACTCGAAGTTAATCAATAGCCTAATATTAGCATTAAGACTATAATGACTTAGGAAGAAACAAGGACAAATCTTCATGATCTTGAATTTCATAAAAGCTTTAACAACAGAAGAAAAAATAAATTTGGCTTCAAGAAATAAATTTATGTGCATTAAGACATTATCAAGAAGATGCAAAGAGAATCCACAGGATTGGAGAAGATATTTGTATAGCATGTATTATATGTTTGAAAAGAGCCTAATACTCAGAATATGTAGTAAACCACTACAACTCAACAAGACAGTCTAACTTAAAAAATGGGCAAAGGGACCAAATAGACAATCTCCAAGGAGAGACAAATTACTAACAGGCACTTTTACAAAGATATACAAATGACTAATAAGCACGTGCAAGAATGTTCAATATCACTAGTTACTAGGGAAAACAAAACCACAGTGAGATGCTATTTCATAACCACTCGGGTACCTATGCTTTTTTACAAAAAGGAATGTAAATGTTGGCTGTGGAGAAATTAGAAAAGTTGAGAGTCCCTTAAAAGTTAAAGACAGTTATTATGAACATAACACAATTCCTCTTCTTGATACCCACCTCCCCAAAATGGAAAACAGGAATTTGAAATGGAGAAAAGACTTAGACATTTCTACAAAGGTGATATACATATGGCCAGCAAATATGTGTGAAGAGATGCTAATCATCAGAGAAGTGCAAATCAAAATGACATGAGCTATTACCTCAAAGCATGAGGATGGTGCTATTGGAAACCTCCAGAAAATAACAAGTTTAGGACGTGGAGAAATTTGAATCCCTGTGCACAAATGGTAGGGTTGTAAAATGGGGCAACTGCTATGGAAAAAAGTATGACACCTCAAAAAATTAAAAATAGAACTACTATATACCCAGCAATCTCACTTCTGAGTTTTCAGATCCAAAGAAAATGGGATCACTATCTTGAAAAGACAGCATTATTCACAATCACCAAGATAAGGAAGCAACCTCAGTGTCCACTAACAGGCATGGCTCAAGAAAACATCTCACACACACACTAGACTATTGTTCAGCCATAGAAGACATTCAATAAAAACATGAACCTAGAGGGAATTTTGCTAAGTGAAATAAGTCAAACAGAAAGACAAATACTGTACACTCTCGCATTTGGAGGCTATAAAAGCTGAACTCAGAAATGTAAATGGTATTTGCCAGGAGCTGGGGTGAGGATCAAGATGGGAAGATGTTCTGGTACAAATTGACAAGTTGACATAAAACTTACATGAATATACAAAGAACTTGGAACAGCCAAATCAATTTTGACAAAAGAAATAATGACCACAACAAAGTTGGAGGACTAGCTAACTTATATACTACAATAAAAGTTACTGTAATCAAGACAGTACGTTGGCATGAACACGGAATTAGTTTAATGAACAGAATAGAGTGTTCAGAAAAACCCTATAATGTTTTTGACCAAACTGATATTCTTTATTAGCACTAATGGGGAAGATGCTGGAACATAGGATGTATTAGTTATCTATTACTGTGTGAAAACTACCCCACACCTAGTGGCTTAAATCAGCAAATAGTTCTTAGTTTTGGAGTCAGGAATCTGGGAGTGGCTTAGAATCTTTCTTGAGGTAGCAGCCAATACAGCACTGAGGGCTGCAGCCAGATGAAGACCCAACCAGAGCTGTAGGGTCTGCTTCCCAGATGTGCAGTGGGAGGAGGTCTCAGATTGTTGACAGAAAGCTGTTCTTCGCTGGATGGACCTATGTGTCCTCACCACTTGGCAGTTTGCTTTCTACACAGTAATTCAAAGGGGGAGAGAGCAAGGGGCAAGCCACAGTGACTTCCACACTTTCATCTGGGTTACGCTAATATTTCTACCACATTCTGTTCATTAAAATAAAGTTATTATGTACAGCCCTCATCTAAGAGGAGAGGAATTGGACTCTTATCTTTTGAAAGAAGAGTATCAAAGACATTATAAAATGCCCAAACTAGATCACCATATGGAACACTCTCAACTTTTACACCATACACAAAAATTCAAAATAGATTTAAAAATGAGATTATAGTATAAAACTTCTAGGAGAAAACATAATCTTTGTGATCTGCAGATAGTCAGATTTCTTAGATAATACAAAAAAAGTAAGTTAGGGCCCTCACTGGTGGCGCAGCAGGTTAAAGCTCAGCACTAAGAAGCTAAAGCCACTTCCGCATGAGTTCCATTCCTGCCTGCCCTGGAGGTGATCCATATGGCACGGCAGACCTCTCCTGACCCACCCGCTGCTCCCCTCAGCAGTGTACTTCGGTGATCTGCCTATTCTGCTCCCCACTCTGTCTCTGGTGAATCCTCTCACCGCCCCCTGCATCTCTGGCCTGTACCCTAGTTCTCTATGCACAAACAAATAAATCTTTTAAAAAAAATTTAATGTGTACACAGCAATATGGATTAAATGTCAAAACAATGTTGAGTGGGGAAAAAAGGTGGAATGGTGATGTCAGCACAAGAGAAGAATACTCAGCAACAGGGTACCTAATAGTATACCTATGTGTGTACTAAGGATAACAATGCACGCATGGGAAGAAAATACACAACTTCAACATTGTGTTTTCATTCAGAGAACAAGAGAAAAGAAAATGGCATCCAGGTAGCATACATAAAGCCATTTTAATTTCAATCTAAAATATATAGTTATTTTGAGAGGTCTGAAATACAGCAAAATATAAACATTTGGTAAATCTGAGTGATAAATACATGGGCTATTCATTATGTTGTTTTATATACTTCATTTCAAATAAAAAATGTTTTCAAGGCAGTGGATTTGACAATTGGAGGTTATTGATGATCATGACTAGAAAAGCCCCTATTATCATTATTAAATACTGAGGTTGGCAAACTATGCAAGTGAGATACCTGTTTCTGGGATAAAAATAACTGAACACACACTTAGATGATGTGTTGTCTGTGGTTCTGAGTCCAACAGCAGACCTGAGTAGTTTGGCAGAGCCTGTATCCCCTGTCAGCC